CACTCGCGCCAGCAAGTCACGCGTGCTGGAAATCCCGACACCACAGGCTGGTCTCTTTGGGAAGACTACTCTCGGCTTGAGTCGACTACTGTGTACCCAAGGGTTAACACGATACCCTGTATCTTCCACCTTTATTTTCACACGGAAGTCATCCCGAATTTCGTCGATCCTGAATGGCCCGTGCCACATGTGTGGCTTCCGGCTCAATCCAGTCTGAACTTTCGGGATATACAACCAAACAGAGTCGCCCTTCTCAAAACCGGCCTTGACCCTCTCTGAGAGTTCCAACCACTTTCGAGTTTGTTCGTCCGAGCGCATCTTCTTAGCTTTTTTCTGGAGATCCCCAGCGCAAGCAAATGCGTAGCTGTATTCCCGCTGCAGCTTCCGTCGCCACTCATAGGCGCTGCGTTCAGGAACGCTTGAAGGTTTTGGACCCAACATTGCTGGAACCGTACTGCGGGCATCCCAACCATGAACTAAATAGAAATGGGTGTCCAGTCTAGTCGCGTCGAACGAGACATTCAGGACAAACATCTGTCGCTCAGCGTGATCATCCCAGTCGGACTGATCCATCTCGGCGCCGTATGCTCGAACACTCCGAATGACCGTTTGTACAGATCTCTCCTGCTGCCCATTCGCTTGTGGGTGATATCCTAGTGTAGGCTGTCGGCTACCTAAGAGTTCTCGGAACCTTGTGAACACTTCACTCATGAAACGCGGATCCTGATCGTGCCGTATCATGGAAGACGCCCCGAATCTCTGAAACACTTGCTCCTCATAAGCCTCAGCGACGTCTTGAGCGGTAGTAGATGACATGGGCTTGCACATCACATAGCCTGAAAACATGTCCTGAAACAACAAGAGGAACGTATTCCCTCTAGCTGACTCGCGCATATGCGTCACGAAATCCATAGAGACTGCTTCAAAGGGATACCGCGGTTCAATGTTTTCTGGCGAAGGTCCAGCATTCGGGGGCGCCCCTTTTCCACTGGCACAATCCACGCATTCTTTCACATAATGTTGGACGTCCGCATAGATGCCGGGCCAGTAGAACTCGGTACGTAACTTCTCGTGAGTCCGAGTGATCCCTTG